CTTTCCAGTCATTTGGTGATGAAATGATAGAAAAACAAAAATAAGCTTGAAACTGCTCAATACAGAATTCATGTCATTCTAAGTTTATGTTTGGCCTCTGGAACTTTATACAGAGTCAGATTTGAGTTCAAAGTAGAGAAAACTGAACTAATACATGTTAAGAGTTTTTGTGAGGTTGTGTGTGTGTGTGTTTTTAAAGAAGAGATCTTTGCTTCACTGGATACGCTTGTTTCTCTGAAAACCAGATCACAATCCAGAAAAGCTTGCTTTATCACAAACGTATCCTATCTGTATTGGGCTACAAGGCACAGAGAACTAAAATCTCTTCTTTATACATGTTGTATTTTATTTATTTATTTTTTTTAGATCTTATTTATTTATTTGACAGAGAGAGACACAGCGAGAGAGGGAACACAAGCAGGGGGAGTGGGAGAGGGAGAAGCAGGCTTCCCGCAGAACAGGGAGCCCGATGCGGGGCTCGATCCCAGGACCCTGGGACCATGACCTGAGCCGAAGGCAGAGGCTTAACAACTGAGCCACCCAGGCACCCCTATACATGTTATATTTTAGATAATATTAAGTGTATACAGTAGTCTCTTCCCATGAAATTTTGCTCTAGAAAAATCTCCATTTTGAGGTAATGCCATATTCCTTTCTCAAGTTTATCGTTACTCTGGCAGATTCTGTCAGTATCGTGAGCCACACTGAGTACTGACTCTACGTAGTTACTTATGAAGAACAGAGGAAAACCAAACACCTTGTTTGCTGAAATTAAAAAGTGAAAGAAAACAAGCCTCATCATTTCCCTAGTTTATCAGTAAATAACTGCTGAAAGAGAGAGGGGCAGATGATTATTAGATGAATAAAGATGATTAATTTATACATCAGTTCTATCATGCCACCAATAGCATGTATCATAATTTTTAAAAGATGATAGTGAGTAAATAGGTCCTTAACTAGGAACACTCTGAAAACAACCCAACAGTAAAGACAATTAAAGTACCAGTAATAGTCCAATCGAATCAAACATTCTTAATGAAGACAAACACTGGTTACATAAATTAGCTAGCTAGAAAATACTTTTTTTAGAAAAAGTCAGTAATTCAAATGGAAACTTCACATTAATTTAAAAAAGTGAACCCATCAATTTGGATCCAGCTTACCTCTTACTGTAAACAAGCACTGAGGTAGAAAAGTAGCTGAAAGTCTGAACAATCCAAAATAGATAAATGGATTGTAAATGATTAACACATATATTTTCTATGCAAACCTAAACCCAGATTTGGGCACATCTACTCCCCATAATTCAGTTTCCACTTCTACATAGTCTTATAAACTTATGATTTAGCCAAGTGTAAAATATCAAACATTTACACTCTAAAATATTCCACCTACATGCAAACTGACATGTTAATCATACATTACCTTACCAACTCACTAAAGCTGCAGCCCATGGTGCTTTATGTACCAATACTTTGTATTTAGACTTAATTGCATGTATTTGAAAGTACTGAATCCAATGCAGGTTAAAACACAATTTTCTATATATAGTTTCTAATGATTCTGATTATCCTGCTCCAATTTAGAAATCACTGACACTATTGAATGAAATTAAGTTCTGTAAGATGGTAACTTGAGTACAAATGGATCTCCATCTCCCAGTATAAAAGATACCTTTATCAGTACTAAAACCTTGAGAAGGACATCAGTGACAACCCAAACCCCCAAGGATTTCTATAATATACAATAGAGGAATATTACAGGGAAGGGCAAACCCACCAGACTTATTGAATGTAAAAGAACAACCTGTCTCTCCAGGAGACATGACATCTAATAGAACAAAGAATGGACTTAAAAGTAGGCATTTAGGTGCAAGACATATAATCCAAATCCCTTAAAATAAGCCTTTGGAAAGTGAGATACATATCAAAGATTTAACCCAGCTATCATCTAGGAATTATACTAGAGAAAACTGGACAAATATGCAAAGATGTCTGTTTAAATATGATAATCACCATAATTAATAATAGTAAATCAATAAATGTGAAACTATAAACAATCCAAATGTTCATTGATAAGAAACTGATACATGATTTTACTCAAATAATGGAACATTACTTGTATGTAAATTTTTAATGACAAGGAATGAGCTCCATAACATACTGCTGATGGAAAAAAAAGATTAAAAATGACATATACATCACTCATCATCAGGGAAATGCAAAAAAGCTACAAAGAGGTATCACCTCACACCTGTCACAATGACTAAAATCAACACAGGAAATAACAGGGACCGGTGAGGATGTGGAGAAAAAGGAACTCTTGTGCAGTGTGGGTGGGAATGCAAACTGGTGCAGCCAATGGAAAACAGTATGGAGGTTCCCCCCAAAATTAAAAATGGCGCTACCCTATGATCCGGGAATCACGCTACTGGGTATTTATCTAAAAATACAAAAACACTAATTCAAAGGGATACATGCACCCCTGTGTTTACAGCATTATTTATAATAGCCACATTATGGAAGCATCCCAAGTGTCCATCAACAGAGGAGTGGATAAAGAAGATGTGGTACACACACTGGAATATTATTCAGTCATAAAAAAGAATGAAATCTTGCCATTTGCAACAACATGGATAGAGCTACAGTGTATAATGCTGAGTGAAGTAAGTCAGAGAAAGACAAATACCATATGATTTCACTCATATGTGGAATTTAAGAAACAAAACAAACAAAGGGAAAAAAAGAGAGAAAGACAAACCAAGAAACAGACTCAACTACGGAGAACAAAGGGGAGGGACTTGGGGGGGATGGGGGAAATAGGAGATGTGGAAATAGGAGTGTGCTCTTTCATGAGCACACCTGTCATGATGAAAAAAATAAAATGACTTAAAAAATGCATATCCAGCAATTCTACTTTAAGAATTTATCTTAAGGAAATGATAATACTATTTTCCGAAGACTTATAAATAAGAATGGTAATTGTAATTTAAGATAATAGCTAACATTTCTTACAAATGATCTCATTTAATCCTCACAACTACTATTACCTCCATTTTACAGTTAACTTGTTCAAATCACATAGTAAATGGAAGAGTTGGGATCTGAATAACATGTACTACACACCCAAGTAGAAACAAGATCATAGAGGCCCTTATAAGTTATGCCAAAGGACTCGGGCTTTATTCAAGGCAAGCAGCGAGGAAGCCGCTGGAAGATTTTTCAGCAGGAGAAATGACAGGATCAAGTATTTTCCTATGTAAAGAGTGGTTTGTAGGGCAGACATAAACGAGATGAGAGACACTTGTACAAGTTAGAGAATTAAATGTAAATGGGGAGAAGGCAGATCCAAGAGATGTTACCAAAAAAAAAAAAAACCACAAAACACTAAAATCAAAAGGGCCAGTGACCAGTTCAACCTGAGCTGTTAAGGAGAAGGTGGTATCAAGGATGACTCGGTAGGTTTCTGACCCAAGCAAATGGGTGAAAGACAGTGCTACTTACATTACAGGGGGAGAAAGAAAAAGCTGGATTTTAAGCATGTTAAGTTCAGGGTGCCTATGAAACCTCAAGAGGAACATCCTGCTGCATTTATGAGTCTGGGCCATGTCTGGGCAGGAGATAAAGTTTTGGGATTCAGTATCCATATTTTAATTGCAATCATGGCCAATGGAGGAGGTCATGCAGGGAGAGTGGGAGAACAAAGATATTGGAAATCACGGAAATACTGGTGTTTTAGGAGGAGTCAATCCAAAAGAAGCTTGCAGGGAGACTGAGAAGGAGAAACCAGAAAAGGAGAAGGAAAAGCAGCGGACACAGCTGTTGCAGAAAGTCAAGAAAAGAGTTTCAAGCAGGGAAAGAGTGTGTTTCCAGGGAGTTAATGCTCAGAAAAGCCCCGACAGTAAGGTCTAAGAAGTCTTTCTTTGATTTAGCAATAAAGTGACTGTGGACAGAGTGGTTTAAAAAAAAATGACATATATATTATAGTTATACACATGGAGAAAGAACTGCACAAATTATCACCAAAATACAAATGAAATGAGGGTTGCCTCTGGGTGGTTGGATACTTGATAATGTTTACTTTCTTCTTTATAATTACTAATATTACTTAAATTCTCTAAATAAATACGTACGGTCTTTGTAATAGGAAAACCATTCTCTTTGTGTTGAAAAAAGAAAGTATAGTTTTTAATACTACGATTCCATTTGGGAGAAATTATCTTGAGAAAATAATTGGAAAATGCAAGAAAATATAGATTCAAAGGTGTTTATCCCAGCACTGTGTATACTGGCAATAACCTGAAAGATCAGTAGTGAATCTGTTAAATAAATTTGGCGATAACTATATAACGGCATACTACAGAAGCCACCACAAATGAAGGCAAAGATATATTCATTACTAGCTCAGTGACCTTGGAAATATTACATATCCTCTAGGAATCAGTTTCCTCATCTGTAAAATGGGAATAAAAAGAACACTTACCTCACAGTGCTTTACCTAGATTAGCTATATCCTATTGTGATCAGAAACAAAAAACCTGATGTTCACAAGTTTCCTCCAATATCACGTACCCCTATTTCAAAACTGGCTTCGCTATATGCTTTTAAAAAGTATTTCAAAATCAACATTCAACTTGGCCATAAATCAAATTAAGAAGATATGAATCTAAGACCACAAAGGCAATGAGTATCAAAGTTGAAAACAGGAAATTCCTGCAACTTCTACCCTGTTTTTTAAAGACTCCCATAAATATTCACAAACTAAGCTTATTTATTCACCTATACATGTAGAAAACACAGTGCCTGGAAGACAGAACCGGGCTGATCCGGATGCCATGGGCCCTGGGACCAATAAGAAATCGCCTAGGTTACGGTGACAGAGGGAACTGGCATCCCTACTTAACTGGCCAACAACACAATTTATACAGACATACTGGTTAGCTTCTTCAGTTTTACCATCACTGTCCGTTTCTTTTGTTGCTTTAAGCAGCTGAAACCAACCTGCCAAGGTCTTTCCCAATCGAGTGGAATAGGAAAGGCTCCCAGCCATGTTCCTATAAAGCTAGAAATTGTAGTGATCTGAAGGCTGTTCTCCCAAATGGATGTAACTCTGTAAAACACAAATACGTAAATCACCGGTGGTATCTCTCTTAGCTGCTAGAGAATCAAACAGCAGTGCCAATAACACTACACATACAGGTTCTGTTCATTTAACAACCATCTCAAATTGACACCTATTTACCCTGAACTATTAACAACTAATTAGTAAGATGATATACATGTTTCTCGGTTGGAAAGGTAATATATGCACATGGTGAGAGTCAAACAATTGGAAAGAGCATTTGCAATGAAAGCTAAGTCTTCCTCCCACCCTTATCAACTCTGGTTCCTCTCCCCAGCAGCAGCTGCTATTACCAACAGAGTACATATCCTTCCAGAAATGTTTTATGCATGCACAAATATGTTTGGAATGATACATGCATAGATGTATACATCCTTTATCAAAACTCAAATGCATGTTATAAACCCAGTTTTACTGTTTTGTTTGCCTTGTTAACAGCTATACTAGTATTCCACTGCATGGAGGTACCATCACTTATTCAACTAGTCCTTCCTAGGGCACATTTCATTTATTTACTTTTTTATTTTTTAGAAGATTTTATCTATTTATTTGGCAGAGAGAGAGACAGCGAGAGAGGGAACACAAGCAGGGGGAGTGGGAGAGGGAGAAGCAGGCTTCCCGCAGAACAGGGAGCCCGATGCGGGGCTCGATCCCAGGACCCTGGGACCACGACCTGAGCCGAGGGCAGACGCTTAATGACTGAGCCACCTAGGCGCCCCTAGGGCACATTTTATTTAAACAAATCAACTTTACTTATTTGGTGGGGGAGGAGTAGAGAACAAGAACAAAAGATTTCAAAAGATCCAGCAATTTCACCCACCATTCTTATTTATTAAGTATATATCTTAGAATATAAAGGTGAAAAGACATAATTCTGCCATTCTCTGAGTAGGTCTTGCTTTCAGCCTGCCCCTCAGAGTGTGACCACTCAGCTGGGTGGAGCATGAGTCTGGTTACAGTAGAGTAAAAGCCCACCACAATGCAGTAAGTAGGGTTCCAAATATTCAGTTGTTTAAAATGCAAGGTTGACTTATTACAAAGTTTATGAAAAGCAGTTTCTTCCAGCCAGTGTGGGAGTAACTGAAGACATCTGTTTTGTTAGAGGATTTCTTTCATTAGAAACAGGCCATACACACAAAATATACACTGAATTAAAGTAGCCCCAAATGACAAGTCAGTTAATTAGCCAACCGCTGTCACCTGTCCCTCTCATTACTGCCCCAACCTCACCCTACACAAGATAAGAGCTTTAGCTTTTGAAATCGATTGAAAATTGGGACTGGAAGAAGGTTGGAGCCAATCGCCATAGATCCAAATTCGTGTTATTCTCTAGGCAATTGTTGCTGTTATTGTTCTTTTTTATTTTAACACCTAAAAATGCAACTCAATTTCTTCAGCTAGAGTTCAACAAGACAGAGTTCTGTCCCAATCTTGGAGGGAAAAAAAAATGATGAGTTTAACGTAAAGAGGTAACTATACTGTTCAGGCGGTTTCAAGGATTTTTTAAGGTTAATTTTTGACTATCTGTGGCTGTCAAATATTGGCTGATTTTCGCTTAACACATAACTCCTATTTGTTGCAATACATAAAGTGATGTGTCCAGAGACATGAAGCCTGGAAGAGGATGAAAGCAAGGTTCACTTTCTGCGGAGAGGGGTTTACTTCTTCCGTTTTATGAAAGAGGAAGTTCCACCAGAACTGGAAGAATGGGTGGCAGGTGGGCTTGATGAACTGGAGAAAGACCCGCACTGTAGGTAGAAAGAACGCAAGGAAGATTGGTCGAGGTTGAGTGGAAGAATGGGAAATAAGGCTGGAAAAGTAAGTTAGAGTTAGGATTTTTACAAATAACACCTTCGTTGAGTACAGTGAAAATCTGCCCCCCATAACCCTTTCCCAGCCATATAATTCACTCATCTAAAGTGCACAACCCAGTGTTTTTTTAGTATATTTAGAGCTGTGCAACCATCATCCCAAAATGACACCCTTTTACCCATTAGCAATCACTCCCCATTTCCCCTTCCCTCCAGCCCTAAGCAACCATTAATCTACTATCTGTCTCTATGGATTCGCCTATTCTGAACATTCATATACATGGAATCATACAACGTGTGCTCTTTTGTGACTGGCTTCTTTCACTTAGCGTAATGTTTTCAAGATCCATCCATTTTGTAGCATACTTCCTTTTTTATTTTCAAATAATATTTTGTTGTATGGATATATATCACAGGCATCAGTTCCCGGGACATTAGAGTTGTTTTGACTTTTTGGCTACTGTGCATAATGCTACTATAATAGTCATGTACAAGTTTTGTGTGCACATATGTTCTCATTTTTCTTGGGGATATAGTAAGAAATGGAATTGCTGGGTCATATGATAACTTTGTTAAACCTTTTAAAGGAACTGCCAAACTGTTTTCCAAAGCAGCTGAGCCATCTTATATTGCCACTCGCAATGTGTGAGAATTCCAATTTTTCCCCATCCTTGCTAATACTTGTTATCATTGATCACAGCCATCTTAGTGGGTGTGAGGCAGTATCTCACTGTGGTATATTTAGCGTTAGGATTTTAGAAAAACCTGAAAAGTCACACTAAAGGAGCCACTGAAGGTTTTAAATCAAGGCAGATACGATCAGAGCTATGTTTCAACAAGGGTTATGTACATGGCTTGTCTAACCTCTAAGCTCCAAGTTCCTTGGGCCAAGGGGCAAGATCCATGTCTTCACATTTTTCATTTTTATAGCACACTGAGGCCATCGGTTACAAAATGTGCAAACATGCAGGAGGTTGTCCTCTATTTTGTTTGACGTATCCAAAGGGGTTTATGATCTTAACACATAATAAATATAAGGAAAAAAATGGAACTAGGACCTAGTTTTAAAAATAGAAAAACTGTGTAGCCTATCTTTGTAAAATTACAATTTAATATTCATCAAAATCATAATATACATCAACACCTTCAAGGTCCCAGATCACAGTTAGAGGAGGATGCCTACTACCAATCCTTCCCTGCATCCCTCTCCACTCTGATTTCTGCTCCCCAGGCAGACACTGTAAACTCTTCAGTTTCTTCTGTGTACCTCAAAATTTAAAGAGCATACATTAGGTATAGACTTTTCAAGACGCAGTTACTCCCTGCTTTCTACACTAGAAGAAGAGGACTTAGGACCCTTTTCCCACAAGCCTCCCATTGCCACATACTTATTTCTCTCTGACTCACCATTCCCTCCTCCATGGTAACATCCTCTCCTCTCAGCTGAATCAATAGCACAGTATCTACATCATTATGGTTATGAAAATGCTCATCACAGCTGAACCACACAAGTACACCACAGTCACATTTCCTTTTTCATGGTAAATTTTTCATGTTCTTTGGATGTTAAGAACTGCCTCATTTTATCCTCCATTTGCTTATGTACCTGTCACTAAACCATCCTCAAACATTCCAAAGAAACTAAACATCACCTCTAACTACTTGTTTGTGCTCTCTGTTCTCCTTCTGTCTTTCTTTTTGGAGGCACCTCACCTGCTCTGAGCTGGTCTGGCTGCTCTCTAAGCCTGAGGCACAGCTGCTGTCCTCTAACTTCCCTACACCATCATCCTGTGAATTCCCTTTGCCTCTTCCAATGCTTTTGGATGTCCTGCTTCCTAGATTCCAAGACTTTCTCATACTTTCCTTTTTCTTTCTTTTTTTTAAGTACCTTCTTCAGAAGATTCCTGAGAAAGGGTAAAATAGATTTTAAAGATTGTTTAAAGTCTAAAAAGGACTTTACCGTTAACTGTTGGAAATCATTTTGCCTCAGAATTTTGAAGGCATTGCTCCATTATTTTCTGTTTCCCACCTGAAAAGTTCAGACATTCTGGGTCCCAGTCCTTTCTAGGTAAGATGTCCCCCCCACCACTGCCCTCTCTGGAAGCCTTTGGAATCTTCTCTTTATTCTTGGTTATCTAAAATTTCACAATCCTATGTCTTGGAGTGGGTATCTTTTCAGCCATGACGCTGGAAACCGATGGGTCTTCTTAATCTACAGTCAAGTCTTTTGGTTCTTGGCATTTTCTTTTTAAAGACTTGCTTTTTCTGCCCAGATCCTTAAGATTTTCTTTTTCTTAGTCTTTTGCTGGGAATACTACCATTTGGAATTAACCCTCTGATTTTTTTTTACCTTTTAATCCATTTTCCATATTTTTGCCTTTTCTATTTGACTAAGGGAACTTTTTAACTTTTTGTCTCTACTTCTGTTGAATTTTCTTCTCTCATATTTTTTAATTTCCAAGAGCTTTCTTATTCTCCGAATATTCCTTTTGACTGTCTCTGTTCATGTTTTATGGATATAAAACAATAGACATTTTTTAAAGTTATCTTCTGGTTTTTATATCGCCTTTGTTTCCACTGAGTTTCTTTTTTGTTTTCATTTCTGCGTTTCACTTTAGAGGTGTTCCTGAAATGCCCAGTGATTGTTCATTTCTCATTCTACTTAAAAGTAAAATACTTTATATGAAATGTTCAGAACAGGCAAATCTAGAGAGACAGCAAGTATTTTAGTGGTTGCCTGGAAAGGGGGTGAGGGGGAGTGCAAGGGTGGGTAGGAGGGGGACTGCTAATGGGCAGAGTTTCTTTTTGGCATGGTAAGATGTTCTAAAATTAGATTGTGGTGATGGTTACAAAGTTGTGTCTATACTTAAAAAACACCGAATTGTACACTTGAAATGGTGGGTTTTATGGTATAAAGTTATATCTCAATAAAGGTACGTTTTTAAAAACCAACAAAAAAGAAACACGCTAAACAGATGACTAGATGTTCACTGTGCATGAGTAGCACGATTCACCTGGTCGGCTTCACTGTACCAGGGAGCGAATAGGAACCTGTCTTTTAGAGACCCCCCAAATGTCAGTATCTGTAGGTTTTTCTTTTGTGCCATTTTGTTCCCTGAAAGAAGTATTTCTATACCCTGCCTAGATGGCATAAGCCTGGCTGTCAGTATTCTGGGC